AGACTTGAGTAGAGTAGGGAAGAGTAGACTAGAATAGATACATAGAATAGAAGAAGGATACTAATGGCACCAATTTTGTAGCATTGTTGTGACCATTATATAAACTGATAAATGTAAAAGTTTGACACATAGTAAGTACCATATAAATATCAAGTATTGTTGTTCCTGTATTAGACCAGAACAGAACCACTTATCTTATGGATAGTGGACAATTTCTTTCTTGAGATTAAGCCTCATTTAATAATCAGCCAGAAAACACAACTGACAAATGGACCACATTCATGCCAGTACACAGTCTGTATATTCAAATGACAACAGTTTCCTTCCTGATTGCAAGTGTAGACTGAGAAGGAACAAGAGCTAAGCCACAGGGTAGCCTAGGATTTTTGAGGGAAAACTGTAGTCTTCACAGTTTTGTCTATTTCTAATCTTGTCAGAAGACACACAATCCCTAAAGATGTAAATCAATTCTCATTATAATTCCTATAAAGGCATTTTAAGAGGCTTTCTGTGAGAGGTCACTTATTACTGTAACCTTTACTTTTGAATCTCTAGATGGTCCCCATCACAATGATTCACTGCAGGCAGCAAATACAATGAATATTTACACTTTAGGCCTCTGGGCTGGGAGTACGTCTCAGTGACAGAACATGTCCCTAGCCTAAGGTACTAGGGCACTGGGAATAGTAATTAATAATAATAATAATAATAATAATAATAGCAACAATAATAATAATCATCATCATCTATATAAACATGAGGCCTCAGACCAGTAACACCTGATGGACTACAATATTGACAAAAATGAGACTGTAGTTGCAAGACATTTTGGGTAAAGTCTAAGGATGAACAAATGTTTGTGGTTCAGTGGACACATGTGAAATATAAGAGCAGTACAGTGTAAGGAAATATGAACCATGGCATTGAGAGCCAGTTACCTCCTTAAGACCCATGGACTCGTCCTCAGTGTCTTCAGGCAGCAGGATGACCATGCTAAGTTCTTCACCCTGGTAAGGTAGCCCCAGAACCTTGCACTTCAGGTCCGGAATGTAGCCAAAGGGAAGATTATTCCTTTGATACATCATCTTCACTGTTTTTGTGTCTTTCTGAATGGGGAAAAAAATCACTGAAATTATTCTCTCATGTCTTTTAGAGCAGAGGTGAATTTGGGGTCTTGGGGTAGAGGGCTCAGTGGTAAAGGCTTGACTGACCATGGGGGAGGCTCTGAGCTACAACCTCAGCACTCACACACATACAACAAAGAACATCTCGGGATGATGGTGTCACCTGACCTTGTTCAGTCGGAATGGGGCATCTGTTGTGTCTTGTGTCATGAATTTCTCCTTCCACATTCCTTTGAAGTAGATGGCATTTACTAGCACAAGTTTGGTCATGCTGTCCACCACACCCTCAGCCAATAGTTCTGGGATTTTACCTGAAAAGATGAAATAAGCTTTTTAAAAGGTTTATATTGGAATTCCAAATTTAAAACTATAATTTATTAACTCAAACATAGACTTCAAACTTTATTTTGTTTTAACTCAGTGTTAGGAAAGACTTACTTGTCCAATTTTTATTTTAAATAAACCAAATTGTAAGACCCCAAAGGCCTCTGTCTAGTGTTCAATAACCTTCATGTCCATTCCTGGAACAGGAAGAAATATTCTTAAAGTCAGTCAAATGTCTTCAATGTTTAAAACAAGAATGTTCTCCATTCTGGGAGGAAACCGTAACCATTATTTTGTGAATGGCTATTTCTTTATAAAAAAGAAACAAGATTCCCTAGTTAATGTTTTTGATCACGGGTAAATGAAGTCTTCAAATGTGCTAAGTAGGATCCTGCTCTTATGAAAAGGACTTTGTACAAATATCTAAGAGATAATAGACTTATCTAAGGCGTAGGTCTATTGAAACAGAAGCCACTCTCCCCACAGCCTGATGCGCTGCTGGGAACTGATAGAATTCCAGACAGGATCTCTGGGTGCTGACTCTCAAATTAATAAGACTGAAGACAGATCCATCTCCAAGCTGAATTGAGCCCAGAGGGTGAGTCCCTCCCTATCCACTACTTCAGAGTTATTGGATAAGATGGTGGCCAAAACTATTATGACTGCAACGGTTTCTAAACACTGACTTCATGGTTCTGTGAGGTTTTATGTCTCATTTCTTTCCATATGAGCATTAAACACTTCTGGGCAGACATTTTTATTAATTTTTTAATGTAGGTTTTAACTTTCAATTGTACTTTAGGGGAACCCATAGGTACAAAACTATTACCATTAAATCATGTCTATATTTCTCCACTAATAAAATTCTGACATCTTTTTTTAAAAAAGATTTATTTATTTTATATATGTGATTTCACGGTTGCAGTCTTCAGACACACCATAAGTGGGTGTCAGATCCCATTACAGATGGTTGTGAGTAACATGTGGTTGCTGGGAATTGAACTCAGGACCTTTGGAAGAACAGTCAGTTCTCTGAACTACTGAACTTTCCCTCCAGCACCCCCCCCCCCAAATTCTGACCTTTTAAGTTGTACCTTATTCTAGAGAATAGCCTCTGAGTATCAGTGCACATAAGTCAGGATTTGGGTAGTTGTGGAAGGGAGAAAGGAGATGCAAGGGAGAGAGTGCAGGGGAGTGAGAACCTGTGCACAATGGCTCTGCTATGGTTCAGAGGGGTCCCCCAAAGGCCCCTCTCTTAAAGGATTGTTCTCTGGTCCATCTTACATTGGAGGACAAGGAAACTTTTAAAATGTAGGTCCTTGGTGGGGGTCTACCCACCTATAGATCATTGGGAAATTTTTTTAAATTTATTCTTATTTTGATACAGGGTCTTCCTATGTGTGCTCAAGGCAATCCTCTTGCCTCAGCCTCCCAAGTACTGGGATTGTAGGTCTTCAACATCAAACCTACCTTAGGGAAGGCTTGCGGATACTGAAATGGCTGTGAGACACTGGTCTCTCCCTCTTTCTTTTTATTCACCAGTGAGGTGAACATGCCTCCTTTGCTGTGCTGTCATAACAAGAGGCACAGTGTTGCCATAGGGGCAAAGCAATAAGGTCAATCATTAATAAAATGAAACTTCCAACAGTGTGAGTCAAAATCAGCCTTTAGTCCACAAGCTGATTGTGTCAGTTATGAGCTACAGAAGGGAAACTGACTGACAGAGCCAGCACTGCTCAACTTCTCACCTTCTGTTTGACCTTTGACCCACAGGTTTATCTCCTTCCTTGCATCCTCAGAGGCATGTTGAAAATCCACAGGGGTCAAGTCAGCACCATACATTTTCTGGGTTGAAGCCAAGAAGTCCTATTTTAAATAAATGAAGTGTCAGGGCTGGGATTACAGGAGACTATAGAGCCAGGTCTAGCATTTTTCATGGGTTCTGGGATCTAAACTCAGCTTCTTATGCTTGCACAGGAAGCTCTCTTCCCCACAGAGATGTTTCTTCAGTCCTTGCTTTTGTAAGTCATCCAGGAAGAATCCTTTCATTAGAAAGTCTTTGAGACCTGAGTGAGGTAACCCAGTCACAAAAGAACATACATGGTATGTACTCACTGAGAAGTGGATATTAGGAAAAAAGGTTGGGATACCCATGATACAACTTACAGACTGAATGAAGGTCAAGACGAAGGAAGACTAAAGTGTGGATGCCTCAGTCCTACTTAGAAGGGGGAACAAAATAATCATGGGAGGTAGAGGGTGGGTGGGGACTTGGGAGGAAGAGAGGAGGAGGAGAGGAAAACGTTGGATTAGGTGTGGGAGGAGATGGGGGAGATGTACAGAAGGTCAGGAAATTGAACAGAGGTGTTTAGCAATAGGGGATGGGGAACTGGGCATAGCCAACAGAAAGTACCAGACATCAGGAAAGCAAGAGGCTCCCAGGACCCAATGGGGATGCCATTAGCTGAAATAACCTACATAGGGAGAGAGAACCTGTAGAGACCAAATCAAGAGGTTAGGTACAGTCCCTAGTTGAGGGATGGGGCCATCCACCCTTCTCAAAAATTTTAACTCAGAATTGTTCCTGTCTAAAGGAAATACAGGGACAAAGAATGGAGCAGAGACTGAAGGAAAGGCCATTCAGAGACTAGGGACTCATCTCATATACAGCCACCAAATCCAGACACTATTGCTGATACCAAGAAGTGCTTGCTGACAGGAGCCTGATATAGCTGTCTCCTGAGAGGCTGTCAGAGCCTTACTGATACAGATGTGGATGCTTGAAGCCAACCATCGGACTGAGTGCGGGGAACCCCAATGGAGGAGATAGGGGAACAACTGAAGGAGCTGAAGGGGTTTGCAACCCCATAGGAAGAACAATATTATCAACCAACCAGACTCCTCAGAGCTCCCAGGGGCTAAACCACTAACCAAAGAGTACACATGGAGGAAGCCATGGCTCCAGCTGCCTACGTAGCAGAGGATGGCCTTATCTGGCATCAATGGGAGGGGAGACCCTTGGTCCAGTGAAGGCTTGAAGCCCCAGTGTAGTGCTAGGGTGGTGCAGCAGGTGTGGGTGGATTGGGGCGGGGAGCACCTTCCTAGAAATAGGAGGAGGGTGGTAGGATAGGGGGTTTCTGGAGGGGAAACCAAAAAGTTGGAAAACATTTGAAATGTAAATAAATAAAATAATCAATATTTTTTTTAAAAAGAAAGACTATGAGATGAAAGTCCCACACACATTCTTTGCTGTTTTTATGGATGGCCTGCAACATGGCTGTGCCAGGAAAAGTCTGCCTCACTTCAGGAAGTTTCAGAATGTGAAGTGCTAGGTACTTACAGGGAGGAACTTGTAGGTTTTCTCTCCATACAGTCTGTTAGCAAGTTTCAGAGTGTGAGATGCTCCATGCTTGCTCACTTCAGTGTTCAGGCTTTGAAAGCGTGAATGGACGTCCTCCACAGAGTCGAAATGAAGAGTCTAAAGGGAGGAAAACATTCTCTATATGAACATCTCTTTTGAAGTTATGAAGTGATTCTGTGTTGTCTACCTTCACCAAATTATTTTTATTTGATACCGAGTAATTCCAGCCTAGTAGTTTATTAACATATCATTGGCAAAGTAAACAAATGGAACCAAAAATAGATGGCTCAGTGAGACATAATTAAACATGGCTTCTAAATAAATTTTAATAGTTCCTCAAGCCGGGCAGTGGAGGCACACGCCTTTAATCCCAGCACTTGGAAGGCAGAGGCAGGCAGATTACTGAGTTTGAGGCCAGCCTGGTCTACAGAGTGAGTTCCAGGACAGCCAGGGCTACACAGAGAAACCCTGTCTCGAAAAACAAAAACAAACAAACAAAATAGTTCTCCAAATGTGAATGGTTAACATATTAAATATTTATATCTGAATTCTTTTTCCAAAAATGATTTAAATGTTGTAGTCATGTTCCATTCTGTGCCATATACAAGTTTCCTAAAAAATAAAAAAATCTCAGAAATAAATAGCGTAAATAAGACTCATTCCTTTTCTGAGACCCAAAGGATGGGACTAATTTCTTTGGTTATCTTACTAAGGTTCACATCTCATTCCCTTGAAAAATAACTTCCTTAGATTTATTCTGGTGAGGTTTAATTCCTCATCTGTTAGTTGTAAATCAACAACCAAAAAAAAAAAAAAAAAAAAAAAACAAGAGTAAATCAACAACTATGGTTGTGTGAGGTCTGGGCTGCTTACTCACTTCTAAGAGTCAAAAGACAAAAACCAACCAGGGTTCACAGTCTGTGCTACTCTCTGAGGTATACTTGCTAGATTGCTACATGGACTGAAATGGGGAAGGAAAGGCCTTGAGAGTATTGTTTTCAGAAGCTGTCAGCAGTAAAAGCCTTAACACTGAAGCAGACATAACCTGTGAGAAGCACCTAGCAGCAGGTACAGAGTAGCCAGAGAGGTCAGTTAGGAAACACTTTGTCCACTCCTGTCTAGGCTTCCAAAGGCAGCAGAAGTCCCCTCTCAGAATTAAGGAACACCAAGAGCAGAAGTCCCCCTCTACAGCCACTAAGGAGGACTAGGCAGCTGTGGAGACGGAGCCAAAGGTGACCTGCTGTCTCCCAGGGGTGGGCTGAGAGGATGTGGGTCCTGTCTACCAGGCTACAGGGACTTTCCAATCTCTCCCCTGCAGAGCCACAGCCAGTGAAATGAAGCTGGAGAGAGGCACGGGGCTATCCCTGAGAACACAGACAGATGGCTGTCTTTACCATATTCTTACAAACAGGCACCAGAGCATGTTCGTGTATCTGTCATGCTTGAAGGTGACACTCTATTACAGGCATGATTTATGAGTAATGGTTCCCCATGCAAAAGGAAAACATGAAACAGCTAGCTCTGGGGAGGTGCAGGACTTACATGAAAGCTGCCAGATTTACTCACAGGAATGGGAAAACCAAACCCACTGGTATTGTCATTGTCTTTCTTCAATCTGTGTTCCCAAGTGAACAGAGACACTACCCAATGCTCAGTAAAGCTGATCGTGAAAGAACAACTGGCTTTCCATGGGGGGGGGGGCTTTTCTGACAGCATCATGAATAGCTACTAACCCCATTCAACATGGCATAGAAACCACCAGAAGAACTCTGAGGCACAGCTGTGAGCATGGAGCTATCAGGGAGAGGTCTGCCTGTTTTGCTTCTGCTAACCTTAGAGAGCTGGGCTGCAGTGCTGCCTTTGGCCCCCAGGAAGACCATGGTCAAGGCAGAAGAAATGTTGAAGGGAGAGAAGAAGACATTTCCTGTGGGATTGCTCTTGTTCAGGGTGTGGAACAGCTCCAAGGCGAAGAGGCTGTTGGCTGAACTCAGCTGCTCCATGGTGAAGGCTGCAACAGAGGGGACATCAGCATTGCCAGCTACAACACCAGCAAGGCCATCTAACTCAGCTTCGATATCCACCCCTAGGACCTGCAGTTGGTTAATCCTGTTCCCTCCCATTTTCCAAGAGGGCAAGCATACTCCTCCAGTCACACAAAGCTGGGGCCAGACTTCAGCAGTGACACAGGACCAGGGCCTAGGGTATCTTATAGCTCTAACCTTCCAGATAGCTATGTCTGAAGAGAGACATGCCTGTGACCTCTGCACAGTGCCCACACTACACAGCCTTCTGTCTGGAGCTCACACATCTCTTTCTCTCTGTGGGAGGTCCACTTCTAGTTTATGTTGGCAAGGAATCCAGACAACCACATGGACCTCCTCTGCATACAAGTAGATTCTGTTAAAGATAGCAATGTTATCACTTTAGTTCTCCATGGATTCAGTTCTCCATGCCTGAGGTCAAGACTGCAGTCTCAGCTGGAGTAACATATGCAAGTTTGTGATTGCCCCTCACTTTCCCTAGTCAGGCTGTGGGTGACAGGGAAGAGGACCACTCTCCTTTGTCCCTTTTGCAACCAAGCTGGCCCCTGAAGTGGGTAAGCAAACCCTGCTGGGGCGGGGGGCATCTGCTAATCCATCTGGGTCCCAAACTCAAAGCTTCAGTTTGTCCAAGTACAAGATAATCACAGCTGCTTGTCTCTGGATGTTTAGCTACCAGGGCCACATCTGGTTCTCATTGTTGAGGATCTAGGGTTTCACTAGCTTCCCTCCCAGCCTCCCTGCTGCCAGGATTGACCCCATGGAGTTGCAGGGCACTGTCTTTCAGATTAAGATTCAAAAAGAAAGTTGAGGGGAAAAAAGTTGTGGCTGAAATTCCGTGGGTGTGTGGAGAGGTATGGGGGAAGGGGATGTCTCAGTGGGCCCATGCCAAGGCATCTCTTCTCCCTGATGGACCAGTCACACACTGGTATAGCAGAGAATAGAGTTTATTTAGGGCATGGGGAGGGGAGCCAGGAGGGTAGTAGAGGCAGAGAGAGAGAGAGAGAGAGAGAGAGAGAGAGAGAGAAGCAATAGAGACCAGCCATGATCACGTGGAGAGAGGGGGGAAGGGAAGGGAGGAGGGGGAAGGGAGAACCTGCAGGGCAGGGATCAAGAGAGTGAGGAGGGGGCAGGCAGCCCCTTTTATAGTGGGCAGGTCTACCTGGCTGTTGCCAGGTAACTGTGGAGGCAGAGTTTAGACAGAATACTAACAGTAGCTAGGATCACCTTCCTCCTTCTGGCCTGGGCCAGGAGTGGGGTGTAGTTGGGGGATCCACAGATCATTTCCTGGTTACCTCTTGGGTGAAGGGGAGGTGCCAGGAACATGCTGGTTCCTGGAAGCTGTGGAGAGTTCTGTCCACCTCCTCCCAGCTACCTCCCTGCAATGACCTTACCTGGGGACCTTACCTCCTGCTGAGCAGTCTCCTCCACTTGCAGCTGACCTAGGATGAAGTTCCCAGAGCCATCTGTTGCCTTGATAGTTTGCAGAAGGGGAGTGTCTTACTGGCAAGTCCAAGGAGGATGGATCGAGCCAGATTTTTCTCTGGTGAGTGGTTAAAACTGAGCTTGTAGGTCTTTCAAAATAAAAGCAGAAGATTGCAGGCACTCCCAAGGGGCCCTTACTTTCCTCAGTTCCAGGCTTTTCTCTATGTCTCTATGTGAGACCTGGTAAGTTATTTTTCCTCAGCAAAAATGACCTAGAGGATAAATGTCCTCTCTTACAGGTCAAATGATTTTCTTTTGAATTCCACTGAAGTTCCACGAAACACTGCAAACTGGAAAGGGTTGTGTGTGTATGTTGTGGGTGGTTGTGATCCCATGGATAAGGTCCTAGAGCAGCAGTTTCAAGCAACATCCTTGGCTGCTCTGCCTTTCAGGTGTCAAGGCTAGAGCAACCCTCAAGCCATCAATCTCAACTCTTAGACTAAAACTTTGGACACACCCCTCCACATCAAACTAAAATTAGAATTGATTAGCCCAGGTCATCATGACCTCCAGGGACTCAGCTTTATTCTCCCTTGAAGTGTCTGAATCTGTAAAGTCAGTTTTTATTGTTTCTTATCTTTATTCAGGGGACAAAGGAGGAATCCTACTGTTCGTGAGAGTCACAGCACATGGGCTGGTGTTTGTTAGACCTGGGAACTAATGAAAAGAGGAGAAAGGGAGATGGGGAGATGTTGGGTTGAGTTGTTGGGTTGATGTGTCTGTCCCCCCAAGGGGCTAGGGCAGCAGCTCCAGGAAGACAGAGGCATGGGAAGTTGACTGTGCTCACTTCACACCAGCACGGGGTGGGTCTCGGGCTATGTGAAGCCACTGGGAACCCGCTTGGGGCTAGGGACCACAATCTGGGGTCCTGCCGGGAGCTGGAGCTAGCTCATCTGGTTCTCAGGCCCTTGGGACCCTAGGTGCTGCTGGGGGGCCACGGAAGGGCTGAGAACAAAGTGAGGGCTGGGTCACGGCTGGCTTGGCATGCTTGCTTGCTTGGTTTGGTGGTCTTCGTGGCTGGGAACACAAAGAGTTCTGCATGGAGATGAGATGGCTCTGTAGATGAAAGCCTGTTCCACTGTTTCCCACGGCAGATTTCGATGAAAGAGAAACAATCCATGGTTTTAAGATGTTTATTGTCATGACAGAAAGTAGATGAGAGACTGTATCTCAGTTTCCTCAGGTGGGCCTAAGGTTAAAACTCTTTTGCAAGGAGAAGGGTCTGGGAAGGAATGTTTACTTGGCTATGCCCCTCTGGCCTTTAGGTATCTCATTAATATGGAGATGTGTCTTGAGGCTCTGTGGCCTGTACTCACACTCTCTACATGTGGAGGAGCTAGTAAGGCTGTTGCCCTTATGTGACTTAAGGACCCAAATCTATGGAGGGCTGCTGCCTCCCATCAGGAGCCAGGAGTCTGAGAGCGTGGTGAAACACTTACCATCCCTTAGGATCACTTGGGGTCTTTGGCGGTTTCCAGCCTGTGCTCAACCAGAAATCAGATTGCTTTTCACAGTCCTACTGGGAGATGGGTCAGTTGGTACTCATTTACCACCAAAGCATGAGATCCTGAGTTTGGGTCTCTGAGCCCTTGTAATCTTAGAGCTAGGGTGGGGGTAGGGGCAAGCATTCCTAAGAGGAGCTCAATGGCCAGATAGTCTTGTTCACTCAGTGGGCTCCTGGGTCTGTGAGATATCTTGTCACAAAAATAAGGTGGAGAATGATAGCGGGAGATTCATAGTGATGACTCTTGGCTTCTATATGCACACGTATCTGTGCACCTGCCTACATGCATGCACACACACCACATGCATACCACTCACCACAAAGGAAAAGAGCCATGGTCTGAAAACAAACAAACAATCAAACAAACAAACAAATGAAATAAAAACAGTAAGAGAATACAGTTTACAGCTGTCCTAGTTAGTTGTCATGCCTTGATCAGATCTGACAACTGCTATTTCCTATAAAACTGGAGAACCCCCTTGACAAGAAGTAAAAACGACTAAAATAAAAATCCAAACACTGAAATTAAAGACATGGGGCAGGAGGTACACCTCTATGGGAAAGTCCTTGCCTGGCACACTCAGGAGGCCTGGGTTCCACTCCTGAGTCAAGCCAAAAGAAAGGAAAACAGTCCTCTGAAAAACAATCTTTTTGACTCTTTCTGTTGGTGTTCACCTGTATACTAACCCATTTGGATAAAACCCATTTCATGTATACACACACACACACACACACACACACACACACACACAATTTGTCTCCAATTATATATATGTATGTATGTAAAACTTTTATGTCAGGTTCCAAAGGGGAAAAAAATGGCTGTGTTGCCTATTAGCACATCAAAGTGTATGCTAGCTTCTAGTCTAGTTTAGTACCTGTGACTCTTCTAAGCTGTCTACACCCCCTTCCCTACTAAACTTCTCCAGCCTAGGGCCCTTGCTTCTCTTCCCCCAATTTCTCTTTCTTATACAATGCTGGGATTTTCAGCACTCTTGGCTTTCTTGGTTCTCTTGGCTCTTGGCCCCTCCTCCTTGCTCCCTCTCATCTCACTACTTTCCTCTCTTTCCCTCCCACCTGACCTCCTGGCCTAGTGCAGTCTACTGGCCATGCTTAGCCCACATGAAGCAGGCATGACCTCATCTCATTCACTTTATTGACAAGTGCAGCCCAGTAGGGGAAGTCACATTCTGTACAAACCTAACAGTTCTAGTCCCATTATCAGGAATGATCAGGTGGCCCTGCTGGTACTGAGTGGACTGTGCACCTGGCATCCCCGTTTCCAGGAGCAGTCCATGGGTTTCCTTGAAGGAAGACATCAGAGGAGTCTTCCTCACCAGGGCAGAGTCAGGGCTCCCATCTGGGGCATTGGAGGACTGGAGCTACAAGCAACCCCAAGATGTGCACTCTAACGGGCAGAAGTAGAAGAATGGCTGGTACACCAAAGCATGGCAGTCAGACAGCTGTCCTGTCCACCTCTACATTCAAGCTCAGTGTCCCTCAGCACTACTGCAGGGCACTTCCTTCTGCTGGAAGTGCAGGATTTGGTGTGCATGTGCTGTAGTCAGATGGTGCCATCCCACTAGCAGGTCATTTGATGTCCCATCTTCATTGTTGTTGGAGCCATGACCCATCCTTCCATAAGCCCATTGATCTGAGAGTGACAAGGTGAGCAGACTTACTCTATTTCATGGGATTGAGTTTATTGTCACATTGCTTGGGTATGAAAGGATAATTTTTGGTCCCAGTGAAGGACGCCCCCTAGGAGATAGAAATGTACACAGCATAGTTCTGGTAAGTCTGGTCATGAAGCCCCAACCTCCAAACAGGTGATTTGAATATGTCCTCACTGAGAAGCAAGTTGTTTCCATTGGTACTTGTTACCCAAACAGGGATTCTTATTCATTCATTCAGCTGCTACTCTGACCAAGAGTCCAGGCTATCGGCAATGACACCATAGTCAGTCATGTGACTGGGTGTGGTGGCAGAGGTGGCCAGCATGACCCTCATGATGCAGGGCCCATTGGACATATTATAGCTAATCTAGGTCAGAAGATAGCCATAGTGTCCAGATGGCACCCATATCCAGTGTGCCCTCAGGATTGCAGTTTTACAGAGCCATCAGTGACCATACCTCTGCATCCTGGACTCTTAGCCACAGTGGGCTGGGGTATCTACTAGAGACCACTCTGGTGACTTGCTGGTAAGCTAGACATTAGCCTGTAGAACCTGCTAGTTCCTTGGTATGCCATCTGGGCCCAAGTTTTAATGTATCATTTCATTCAGCATCTGAATTCTGTTGTGTTTGTTTATTTAAGAGCTGAATATCAAAGTACCCAAGAATGGGAGGATTATAACAATGAAAAAATTTCTTGTAGTTCTGAAAGCTGAGAAGTTCAAGTTGCCAGAGGGTTTGCTGTCTGCTCTCAGCATGGTATCCTATGAAGACAGTGAGATGTTTCAGTGAGTCAAGGTACTGGCCACTAAAGCTGATGACCCAGGTGTGAAGCTTAGGACTCACAGAGCTGAAAATAGAACTGACTCAGAACGTTGTCCTCTGACATCTGTGCAGGTGCCCAGCATGCACTGCCATGACTGTGCACACACACAAATGTTAAAAAAAAAAACTCCCCCTTTTGCTGTTCCCTTAAAGATGAAAGTGAAATAAAAAAGACTAAATACATCTTTTATAAGGTCTCAATCCCACTCATAAGGGACTTGATTAAATACTGTTGGACAGAGGATTAACTTTCAATATGAAATTTAGGAACAACACATTCAAACCTCAGTATCTGACCCACCAGCCCTACTCTCCTCAAACTCATGTCTGCTACAGTTAGGATATGGTGTGAGCGTGTCTCCTGAGCACTCACGTGTTGAATATAATGCCCATTGTGAGGTTTCAGAAGATAGAAACTTCGTGTGTGGTGTTTGGGAGGTGGGGACTTTGAGAAGTGTTTAAGATTACACAAGGTTCTCAGAGTGGGGAATCCCTGACTGAATATGAGAATGTCATCCTCATGACCACTAGGTGGCGCGCACGCCCCTGTTCTTAAGGACTATTGCTCCAGTGCTTGTGGCTTTCCCAGGTTGCTGCTATACTTCATCTATTAGCTCTGCAGCCTGAAATTTGGGAGGAGGCCCTGCCTTCAGCTCTGCAAAATACTGTCCTGGTGGGAACTCAGCAGTGGCACAAAACCTGGCTCCAATGGACATAGCCTCTTGGTGCTTCTACTTCTGTCATCGTTCTCCGCTCTTATAAGACAGAGACCAGAAGAGACACATATGTGCTCCCAGTTTTTCTGTTTGGTTGGTTGGCTGGTTTTGATTTGTTCTGTGATGCCTTACACTTCCTGGGAAGGCTATTTCAGATGCCCATCCACGAACCTGGTTATCCAGTCACAAGTCTTTTGTTATAATAATATAAATGGACATAGACCTATTCACATACAAAATATATTAATTCCATGCCACTC